TATTTTCATTCATTCATTCATTCGTTGCCTCACAAGTTGCTGTGTTGCCTAGGTAAGCCTCAAATTTGGAATCTTCGTTCCTCAGCCTCCCAGAGCGATAGGATTACAGTCCTGAACCACCAGTGCTGGCTTGGTGTAATGTAATGCTTTCATGCCTACACATGCTGGTGAGATTATTTTTCTACCCTTGTCAGTATGCTATGGAAACGTGAAGAAGTCAGCTGCATCAAGGCTACCTACTTGATTAGAGCAGCACCTGCGCAGGCTGCAAGATGAACAGAACAGAAGAAAAAGAAATTAATACCTCCCTGAGGGACAGCACTGTACCTGACAAGTATACTATTAAATGAAATCAGAAAACAGTGGATAAACAAATCCCAAATATAAATAATGAACTTTTATAATTGTTTCATAATATAATTATTCAATAGCTCTTATTTCCTCCATAGTACAGCCTTTCTTGGTAAGAAAATGTCACCTTTTGGGAACTACTAATTATAAAGTAATTATAAAGATAACAAAACACACTATCATTAAAACTCCTCATCCTCCAAATAATGTAAGGCTTTAAGAGTATCATTACAGTTATATAACATCTTAAATTCACAGTCCATTCAGACCAAGTGACTTTGAAGAAGTTTTAAAGACAATAATTCCAGCACTATTATTACTAATAATGAATACTCAGGTAAAAGTTAGCTATCATTACCTATCAGTAAGCTGTTGTCTCTTTCCCAGATAAAGGATTTCAGGTTGAAAGAGAATCTATTAACATGTGAACCAAAGAAATCTGTGCAGAACCCACACGCTACACCACTAAACCATACTTGTGTCACAGAGATAATCAAGTTAAAAGGAGGTAAGATTTACTTTGGTTCACAATTCCAGGGCTTTCAGTCAATGATCACTTGACTTCCTCACTTTGGGCCTGTGATGAGGCAGAAGGCCATAGAGTTCGGAAAGGCATGGAGGAACAAAGTTGCTCACCTCACGGTGGCTGGGAAGTAGAGGAGAGAAGGGTCAAGTACTTCAAGGACACGCCCTCTGATGACCTCACTTCCGCCTCCTGGGCCCCACCTCTTAAAGGTGCCACCACCTCCCTCCTAACAGTGGCATGGGCTGGGAACCAAGCCTTAAACACATACCCTTTGGGGGATAGTTAAGCGCTGTACCATAAGCCAGGCACAGTGGCACATACTCATAATCCCCACTATGCAGAAGGTGAAATCAACAGGATAGCAGTGTAGTAAGACCCTGTCTCAAAATAAAACAAAGGCCTGGGGATATGGCTCAGTGGTGTAGTGCTTATCTAACACACACAAGGCCCTGGGTTTGATTTCTGATACCACAAAAAAGATAAGAGATCCAAGGGCCAGGGATTTAGCTCAGCAACATGGCACCTACCTCACAGGTAGTGCAAGGTGTTGACTTCAACCCCTGCTACCCAAAAACATTGAAAAATAAAATAAAATAAAAGATGCAACATATAACAATACTATTTTCTAACATGAAAATCAATCATCCAATGTATATCTAGAGCAGGGATGGGTAGCCTATGTCACTACACTAGAGATAAAAGAAGTCATATCTAGGTTCACAGCCAGGAACACTCCCTTTTACACACCTCTGTTAGGGGAATTATCCCCACTACAAGTATAGTTACCCATAGCAGGCTGACTTCCCTTAGGAGCAGGGTCTGTGTCATCCTCAGTGTATTCTGCCTCTAATCAGGTTCCAGCAAGAGCTTCTCAAACTGTAAAGTACTTATGAATTCCCTGGGAATTTGTTAGAAAGCAAACTTGACTGAGCAGACCCACAACAAGGAGTGACTACTTCTAACAAGAACCCAGCTGATGTCTACGCTGCTAATCTGAGAACCACACCCAGGAGCAGCGATGGGATGACAAGGTAGGCTGTACATCAGAATCTCCTGGAAAGCTTTGTAAGCACTTGGATATTAGAGTTCAGACTCTGGAGAATCATAATTTGAGAACACTTCCACATGTCTTTAATGTGCTATCAAGTTTAAGGCTCACTGTTGCACAGCTGTAGTACTCAAACATGGTCTATGGACACCTGTTGTAGACCAGTGCTTCTCAAATTCTACAGCCATAAAAACCACCTGCACATCTCGTTAAACTATAGATTCAGTAGCTCATGAACAGGGCCAGAGATTACCCATTTCCAACAAGCTGATAGGAAGCAAGATTATGAGCAACAAGACCAGAAAATTTCACTGATTCAATGTGTGAGATTTATAAGGCGACAGCCTTAATAATTTTAAATTTAGAGACCAGCAGAATAACAGCACACAGAGGTTCGAGGCACAAGCATATGAACAACACATGAGGTGGGGGATTATGAAGTCAGAGCATCTATCCAGCATTGATTTAGGTGGAGTCTGGTATTAATCCTCATGAGCATTCACGAGAAAGATAATATTCAACTTCCTTTGCACCATGGTTTCTGCCAGTCTCAGGTGTTGAATGTGAAGGCTGGGTGAGAAGCTGGAACAAATTCATTATAGACTGTATGCCAGCTTTTGGAGAGCTTATGAACTCAAGAAGGAAAAATAAGATTAAAGCAATGGAAAACAGCCCATTTTGAGTTCAAGTAAATTTGTATTTCTAAGTAAAATACCTTTTTTTAGGGGATGGTCCACATCATTTTTCCTCCCCAAACCAAGAATCAATGCATATAACATCTACTGTTGCAAATATGGTTTTAAGTGACCCACTAAGAGGAATGTCACTACTTCCTTTCAAATTTAAATACTACATTCATGTAAGAAAAGATTGCTGTATCTATCATTGCAAACAAATAAAAGATTAGCCACCTTTCCAACTTTTATCTCAAGCCATGATTCTCCTTGTAATAACCTGTACCTCCAATGTCCTTTATCATTGGAAATCATTTTTTTTTCCTCATTGAGTTTATTGGTACATTTTAGGTATACAGTACAGTTACATTCATCATTGGGATCTTGTACCTTTACACGACAGGTCTTGGTTCTCATTTTTTCCCCTTACCCCTGCCCTCCCTTCACCCCTCCTCCCTCCCTTCCCTATTCACAAAAACTTTACTTCCATTTTTTCGTTTTCTCATATTTTTTTCTTTTCCCTTATTCCCTTTTCCCTACCCTTGGAAATCATCTCTGATAAAGGACTGTCCAAGTAGGTGGTGCCTTTCAATTTTCTCACCACTTACACCCGAAGAATTACATTTTGTTTGATTGGAGGTTTCAACTGGAGAATTAGAATGTCTCTAGAATATCTGGTTCAAACTCATTTCCTAAAGCACAAATTTATCCAAGAGGCACTCAACACAGCAGAAGAGCTCAGGGCCACCAAAGCCAGGGCCCTGTGCAGCGCATGGAAAGAACAAGTGGTAACCAGAGTACTAAGCCTCCACTCTGGGCTCCTGACAGGGAATCCACTGTTGGAGACAGGAGGCAAGTGCAAAAGAGTGGCAAGGAAACTGGCTTCACAGGGCCTATTTCCTGGGCAGATAGAATCAGAGGCACAAAATGTACCCCATGCTCCTGTTGTGCCAGCCTCCCTGAGTTCCAGGGTTGAGCACTCTTCACCCTCTGAGAGCTTTCTCACTCCCACAACTGCAAGTCTCACCTCAACGAGGGTGACTCCAAAGGTCCACTAGCCACCTTCTATCCCATGTTCCTACCAACCCTCCACATCTAACCCTGTACTCCTCACACCATGCCAGTTGAAAGCTGACCCCACTGGAGGTTCTGGTACAAACTCTGCTTCATCCCTACTTCCTGCTGATAGTTTCCTGATTCCCAAAGCCATCCAGGCTTGAACCCTCACAATCACATTGACTCAGCCCCACACTGCCTGCATTCAAACATTCACCAAATCCTTGTGTCTTTGCTTTAAATCAGGGTTTTCCTCGTGTATTATCTTAGTATTCCTTAGACTATTACTCAGGCCACTACTGCAAAACTCTGACAGGATTAAAAATGAACAATCACAAACTAGAACTCAGCAAATCGGCTGCTAAGGTTATTTCTATCTTACCAATAAGGAATCAGAAGTTTCACAAATGAAAAGATCTGCCCGAGATCAAGTGCCAGTAATACCAGATTTATTCCACCCTAACCCAGGACTTTGCCCCTTATAGTAAAAGGAAAGTTACATTTCAGGAATTCCAGAAGTAAGTGCCTGAGAAGGTTTAGGGCTGGGAAGAACGGGTGTTGACTGGAGTAGAAGGCACCGGCAGCAGGATGAGGAAGGCACACAGGTTACTGCTATCGCTGACATTAATTTCATTTTATTATCTTCTACTACATGCCAGACATGATGTATTTATCTGATTTCCTCCTTCTTCCTTTATGACAGATACTTTTAATTCCATTTCACACTAGGGAAAGTTTCTAGATTTTCTGCATTCATCCCAGTAACTAGCTGAGACACGCAGCAGAACCCAATCCCATGTGATTAAAAGCAAAATCCACTACTTCAGGAAGCTAGAAAAAGAAAAATGAGAGCCTCCTTTTCTATAGAATAAGTTATAACATGTAAAGCAAAAAAGTGCAAGAGCATACTAGCGTACACGTTAAAGAACTTAGCAGGCAGAGGGCTGGCAACACTAAAGACTGAAGAGAAGCTAGGAGCTCCCACAGCAGCCAAATCCATAAAGACAACTCCACAAAAACAAAGTATTTTTCCCTGTCACAGCTTAATTAATGCCACGTATATTCTAATATTTAAATGCCTTCCAGCTTTTACACTGGGATGTTGGGGAAAATTTTTGAAATCACACTTCAACAAATTTTCTGCATCACTGCTACATCATGCGACTTCTTCCTAAGCCAAAAAAACTCCAGTGGACCAAAAAAATTGAAGAGAATAGCTCTAAACACTAGCATTCCAGTGGAAGGCGGGGCGGTGGGCACGAGGAAGACAGAAAACCACAAATGTCAGATTCAGGGTGGACCAAACACAGAAGCACTTTGCTCAGGCATATCAGCCGCACGCAGATGCAATTCACCTCCTCCGACTGAACTGCTCGGTATCCTCAGCAATATCTGAGAGAAACCCTAGGACCCTGAGGCATAAGAAACATCTACTACACTAAAAAGGTAATTTTTTAAGGCAGCTTCGTATAGTTCAGAGAACCAAAAGAGAAGCTCCTGCAGTGTTACTGCATCTGCAATCTCTCTTTTCCTCTCTGTCCAAAGCCAAGCTCAATAGAAACGGACACTATTCTGCTCTGGCAATGGTCACAGTGACAACATCTGTGCCTTGCTGTCTTCAGTCAGAACTTACTGATTGGAGTTGTGGTCATCAGATGATAGACCGGCGAGAGAGAAGCACCCAGACACAAAGGAACCCATTGGAACACGTGTAACTGTAAGTCTCTAATTATCCTTTCTAATTTTGGAGCCATGTGACTGGACTTCACACAGCACCACTGAGCCCCGTCAGCATGAGTGTGTTGTAGCTGGACCACAAAGAGACGGTGAGGCTACTCTTCACTCCTTCATTAAAATACTGTGTTACATCACAGGGTGTGCCTTTCCAGGCTGACATGCAGCTCTCTGGTCAACAATCAAGGAGAGCACCTGGGAGAATTTAACTGTTCCTAGTCATATTCACATCAGGATTTTGAGAGGCTTTCTTTTTTCTTTATGAAAAGTGATCTATCAGGTATCACAAAGATCTGTAACACTTATTTTTAAAATTTTGAGTACTGGCCTTTGTTGAGCAATGTCCACCAGTCCTCTGAGTGGGTTTTCCCTTTGAGCAGCAAATAATACTTTAAAAAGCAAATAGTGACCTCCCCCTAAAAAAATTTCCCTTCTCAACCAGAGAGTAAAACATGATAGATGTGGGGTATCTTTCTCTTTGACATGTGTGGGGAGAACAGCCGGAAGAGAAGTTGTTCCTGGGAGAGGGGGTGGAGATTTGCTAACTTGCTACAACATCTTCATCACCACTTTCAGCTACTTCCACCTCACTGTACAGATGCAATGCAACAGAGATAAGGTCATTTTCTGCTCCAAAGAAACCACCATCAGATGCTGCCACTGAAGTAATCTTGAATGACAAGGTAGAGACACATATTGAAATAGGAAAGGATTTAAAAATATATCTAAGCAATACCAGAATAAATACATTTTTATTGTGTTCAAAATACCTGTTACTGGGTTTGTCAGGAAATCTTTATCACTGGACACATAATTTATGGGTCCAATTCAACATAGCTTAGTAGGAGCAAGAGCCCTGGAACGCAGGCTCAAGTGCTAGGTGTGCTGCTAACCATCCCTGAAACTCTAAGGAAGTTACTTGACCTCTCTGTGGCTTAATTCCTTGCCTGAAAAATAAGAATATTAATAGTTTCTTTCTTTCTTCCAGCTAATTATGAGACTGGAGTACCATGTGTTCACAAAATAAATAAAATCGATTGGGCTACATATAACATTAAAGTACTTTAGAGACTAGCAAAAGTAATATTATATTTTCTACTAGCTGACAACTAATACTTTACACATTAAAATCAATACCTCAATAGGGATGGGCTTACTTTCCTCAGCTGCCCTATGCAAACTCAAAAGAGCATTGTCAGAGAACTCACTCTTGACCTCCCTTCTTCCATGCCTTCCTCGGAGCTCACATCAGACAATGTGATCCAACCCACAGCCCATGACTGAGGAGAGGGTGGTGAACACAGATGAAATGCTGGGCATGCGTACTTCTTTTATTTATCACTTTTTTGGTAAAGATCATATTTCCTAATGAAACTGGAAAATATTCTTTTCCTTGGATTCTAACTGGCCCTCAGTACTTGGTAGAGGGAAGTCAACTGCTGTGCAGTCAGTAATCACTGGACTTCCTGAACAGACTCAATACCTCTGTGTTTACCTCCTTACCTCTGCCGAGGGATGTTTTAATGTGGAAGAAATGTTAAAACACTCTCACTGATTGCTTTAAAATGTTACAGAACATGTTTATTAATGACTTGGTAAATTTTTCCTCGGTATCGGTTTCTTGAAAACAGACCCACTAAGGCTTCTGCCACTATAGACACATGCATGAAAGAAACCAGATCAAAAGAAAAGAAAGAATACTAAAACACCAGGCGCCTAGAACAGCAAAAGGACATGGCCTACGAGTCAGGCAACTTGAATTGGAATAAGAATCTGTGACATGAAAGTCATGTGGCTTTGGGTAATTCCCCAGCTGGGACATAGTGACTTTATTATAAAATAATGAAGGCCCCCTTCAAGCTGTAAAATGGCATACTTCTTCAACCCATAACACTGAAACAATTCTGTGGTAGTGTAACTTCTCCGAACCACCAAAGAAAGCAGAAGCAGCTGAAGAAAAATGTGAAAATTTTCCAGTTCTGTAAAACCTCTTTTTTTCATGAAGCAAAACATTTATTGGTACGTTTTAGATATACATACTGATAACAAATGTTCTGTTTCAAAAAAATAAAATAAATAAGAACTAAGCCCTCCTGATCACAAAAAAATTCGTATTAAACCTGCAATCTCCTTTTTTAATCCTAAATATAGACATACATCATAAAATAAAACTTTCTTCACCTATAATCACTTACTAGCTCAGAAAACACAAAATCAGGTGCCCCATCCAGCTGGGCTATCTACGTCACAGGCAGTGTTTGTGGAAAGACCCTCAGTCAAAAGCCCTGAAAGAGGAGGCCAGGGCTAGGAAATAACCAGGCTGCCTCATTTCCAAGACATTTCTCATTCAGTACTAGGATTTGGTCCTTTACCACTGATATGATCTGTGACAGCTAAATGTGAGGTGCTATAGTCCTACCATCCACCCCAATATTCTCCCCGGTGACTCTGTCCATCTTAATAACCGGCACCTATGTCATCCAAATGACAACTTTTTCCTCAACTAGCCACACAAGCCAGACATGTAACAAACCTTCCTCTCTCTCCTTCCTGCCCTGACTCACTGAGTGAGGCTCGTCTCTTGTCTTTGTCACTGACACGCCTTCCCTATGACTTCTGGGTCAGGCCCTTCAGTCCAGACCACTTCAGGGCCCCAACCTGTTTTTGGTCTGTGATACAAACACTTGACGCAGAAAGTCAGGAGAGAACTGCAATGAGATTATTTGCAAACCTGTCCTATAGCGTTCTGCTACAATTTACAGTCCCCGGGGATGATGATGAAGCTGAAGGACTATAGTGCCACCCTCCAATGAAGAATGTTTCCTCTCAGTCCCCAGGGTGTCCCCAGGCAGGGATGCCTCCCCTAGAGGACACACCCGCTCAGAGATGCAGGAAATCTCACAGGAGACTTGCCAACCAACAGATTCAGATATTTACTCTTCTTACTTTATGCCAAGCACTGTGCTCCCTGATTTCAACTATATATTAACCCTTAAGTCTCACTGCCATGCAGCACACTGGAGATCATTATTTCCATTTTGCAAATAAATAAATCAAGTATCTGACAGACTAAGTGGCTTGTCCAAGTAATTCAGAACAAAGCCTGGTGCTTTTGAGGCCTATGTTCTTGTCATTACCTCACTGTGACCCAGTCAGACAACTCATACCCACACCCCATTTCACGTAGAAACGCAGGCCTACAATGTTGTGATGTAGCAGGTGCGTTTGCTCACCCACCTAACTAGAAATCTATAAACTGGTTGTGAAAAATGCTAACGCAGGGTGGACTCTTCAAAAAGAATGGCTTACTGGAAATGTGTAATATGAACCCTGTCTTTTAAAAAAAAACTTACTTTTTTCACAGAAGTTTAAAATAATTTATCCCCATGTAACCTTTCTTCCACCCACCCACCCGCCTCCACACACGCACGCACACACACACACATGCGCACGCACACGCACACGCACACACATTCACACAGGTAAAAATACACCAAACCAAATTCATAAAGCTCACAGAATGTAGCATTCTCTGCTCACTGATGGAGGTGAGATGCTAAATGAAACGCAGATGACCTGAAGAAGACAGGCAAGAAAAAAATGAAACACTACACAATCCATAAATGCACAGGAATCAGGAAATGACAGGATGGTGCATGGAACCCATGTAATTTGTCATTTTATCTCCCAGAGAAACTTAAATCTTAGCGAAAGAAGATGTGTATAGCCTTGCCAAGGTGTGGCTCTATGAAGCATTCCCATCAGATCCTTCACCCCAATCTTAGGAACAAGGAGACAACCAGACAGACAGACCAGGACCGCTGGGGAAAAAGCTGGAAGTGACCTCGTGACCTCCATGCAACACCCTCACTTTCTACCTAAGGAGTCCCTGGACTAATCAAATAACCTGTTCCACGTCATCAATCAAAGTTAGTACTAGAAAAAAGTTCTTCTAACAGAATATACCAGTGCCTTCAGAGCTGTATCACTGGAACTAATTCCTACTCGTCACCCACAAGTATTTGTTCAGTATCCATTCCCATACAGCAAGCCAGGGAAACAGCACAGCATACAATGCTTACAGCTTGCCGATCTGGCAAACCACTGAGGCACACTCTGCCTGCCCTTAAGAGCCCAAATGACTTCTTATATTGTTTTTTATTAATATCCACAGAAACTGGCCAGATGCTAAGTATATTCCACACTTGGATTTCCCAAAGAGAGAATGCCACCACCACCACCATGAAACTGCTAAGAATGGGACTAGTACCTTCCCCAGAAAGCAATCTCCGGAGAGCCTTTTGAGTAGATGGAGTCGCTGGCATCATTCAGCCCGTTGGCGATCCCACTAGAGTAGCCCATCACTATGCCTCCGTCTGATGAGACACTCAGGATGTCCTGATGTTCTCTTGCTGAAGTCCTCTCCAAGAACTGGCCACCTTCTTTGATGCGCTGTTGTATCATTGGAGTAAGGGGCATTTCAAAGCTAAAGTAGCTATCAGGCTCTGAGTATAATGTCTCCAATGACTCTGCACTATAGTACAAAGAAGTGTTGTCCAAAATGGTCTCAAACTGGGAGCTGTAAACATCAGTAGAGTCTTCTGTATATCCTGTCCCAAGAATATCATCATCTCCTTCCCTAAGGTGGTCTTCTTCCTCCAGGATCCTGGAAAGAAATTAAGAGTAAAGAATTTCAATATTTTTTTCTTTTTATTTTGCCCCTTCAATAAAATAATTATGTTCTGTAGGTGTAATTCACCCTCACTGAGTTTGTATCTAAACCTATTTGGTTAGGAAGATATGAAACACATATGGGTTGAAAAACTTCTAAGCATACATGTGTTATTATCCTGAAAGAAGCTTAATAAAGTTTCAAACTAGTTTCTTAGTGTGCAAATACATCTAGTCCAATGAGCAATATTTGAGTAAAATACTAGCTTCTCATTTTAATCAGCTATATTCCACGAATTCAGACTACATATAACATCATTCTTAATTGTAAAAAAAGCAGCTCAATATGCACACCTGTAATCCAAACACTATGCAAAGCTGAGGCAAGAGGATCACAAGTTCTAGCCCAACCTGTACATTTTAGCAATTTACTTAGCAAGACCCTATCTTAAAATAAAAACGGGTTGGAAAGATAACTCACTGCAAAGCTCCTGGGTTCAATCCTTAGTACCTTGAAAAAATAGTAACAGCAGAAAAACATATCATGTAAACTTGACATGTAAACTTTCAGTAAAAATACACTAAACTTTCTGACTTATGACCACAAGCTCTGGAGAGGGTGACACATCAGAATCCGAATGCTGCCCTCTGCTGACAGGGAAGCCACACTGCAGAGTTCAGGTCCCAAACTGGGGCAGCCAGTACCTGACCCTAAAACAGCCTGTTGTAAGGCTACTCAAAACCCAGGGAAGCTAGAGACAACTTACAAGTTCATATACATGGGTGCGGTGTTAATTTTGGCATACAAATGTGAGAAATTAATATGCAACATATTCTTTAAATATTAAAAGTGAACAACAGGATAACTAAGTAAAAATGAATGCCTGGGAGATAGATCAGTAGTATGAACAAGAGGCCAAGAGTTAGAAAATCCTGGAGCTGAATTTTGAGTGTCAATTAGCTACAGCACTTGAGGCAACTTCACTCAACCTTTCTAAGCCTCTGATTTCTACAAATGGAAATAAAGTAGAAATTGGATCTATTAAGTATCTCATAAGTAATCTGAACTCCTAGGCACGTCAGAATTCATACACAAACAAGCCAATTGTCTGTTTATCTCAAATTATTGAACATCCATTTTGTACTAAATAATATTCTGGATTTTCACCTCCTAATAGCTTCCCATTGCTTCTAGAATAAAACGGAAAATTCCCAAACAGATCGTTCTTCCCCATTTTCCGCCTGGCTCTTATGCATTTTTCAAACGTCCGCTTAATTGCTATTTCCACAGAAAGGCTTCACCCAAACCATCCACTGAAGAAGCCCCTCCCCTTCCATTCAAATTCTAATAATATGTCTCCATTCTTTTCCTTCAAGTGCCTGGCACAATCTGTGATCCCATACTAATGAATGTGCTCATTTGTCTTCAGCAGCAAATTCCATGAGGACAGTGACCACCATGGACTGGATCTGCCTTTCTATCAAGCATCTAGCAAGGTCAAAGGCACAGTAAACAACTGAAAGCTTTATGTGGAAAGAGAGGGAGAGGCGGGGAATTTAGCTCAGTGGTGCCACTGCCTGCCTGGCAAGCACCAAGTCCTGAGTTCAATCGCCAGTACCATATTAAAAAAAAAAAAAAGGAAGAAGGAAGGAGGAAAAGAGGAATAGATTAATAATCCAAACAACAGCAAAAGTGCATATTCAAATGAGAATACAAATAGCCACATGCCACCTAACAAGATGCTTTTGAAGGGAGTCTGGAGGGTTTACATTGAGGGACAGGGAAGGAGGGAGATCCTGATAGTTGTCTCAGGGGATTTGCTAACTGTAGAGGAAAAAGCATTTCCTTCTATGGAACAAAAAACCAAGATAAAACACTCTTCAGCCTTGACACAGATCATCTCTCCTATAGAGTACAACAGGGCGTCATGAGAATCGACAGAAGGAACATGCTACAAATTCCCAGTGAAGTAGGGCAGAAAAAAATCAAGATAAGTTGAAAGGAGATGAATTAGGCACGGTGGTGCTCGCCTGCTACCCCAGCATTCCACTCTTGGAGGCTGAGACATGAGGATGACAAGTTCATACCCAGCCTGGGCAATTTAGAGACTTGGTAAGATCTAGTAAGATTCTCTATTAAAATGGGCTGAGAATATAGCTCCCTATGAAGGTCCTGGTTTATGTCCAGCACAAAAGACAAAACAAAACAAAACAAAATCTATGACTTCCAGACACAGGTTATCTATGTCCATAATCCAACTAAAGGATACTTCCAAGAACACATATATTCCCAACCCCAGATCATATACGCTGTCCCACTCTTTAACTCAGCCTAATAAATGTTTTCTATGCCTCTTACTGATGCGTCCTGAAATTCCTTTTCTCTAATGAGAGTAAAAATTAACTAGGCAGTCTGAGTTCAGGTCCCCAGCTCTGATTTGGGGGAGCTCCTCAGACCTTGTCTGGTGACAGAAGAATAGTATGTAACACTGTACAGTCAGACTACAACCGGAGGGAGAGAAGAAAGATGAGTCAGGTCTTCCATTTACCAGGCTCTGAGCTGGTATGGTGTCCGCAACATAGGAAAAGACCAGAAAATATCACATGAAGCCAAGTTTGCAAATCCCAGCCATAAGTCAACACATGCTACATGAGAGGAAGAGATCCCCATGTGAATTCAGTGGGAAAGATGAATTGCAGAGTCCACTTCTGACTTCTGCACTTTCCCTTCTGAACGCAGGACACTGAGTGGCCCCAAAGCCAGAGCCTCTGTGCTCACACACAAAAGCAGGCTGCATTGTAAATGGTGTACGCAGCTCCACAGTCCCTGCTGTGCCTAAGTAAGGATGTTATGGTCATCCGGGATGTGTCAACAGAGTTCGAATACTGTGGTGTCAATAAAAACAATTAGGGAGTGTTTCAGTTATCATGGTGCTGAAAAACTCAAAACCTGGCAAATATAACAAAATGTCTGATGTGGATTTGCAAGGCTGAGTGCTCCCTGTCACATCAAACTCTGATTCCCTGGTCCATGCCTAAGGGACAACTTAGTTACAAGATCACTGTACTGTCTTAGAAACTTAGAATCTAAGAAGGACTAGATTATGCTAACTCTGTGATAACGAGGAGGCAGTCACTGTGGGGTACATTCCAAGACCCCCAAGATAATAGTGAACCCTAAAAACACTATGCTTTTTCTTATGCATGTACCTTATTAATAAGATATAATAAAATATTAGCAACTAATAAAATAGATCATTTATAACAATATGTTGTAACAGAAGTTATTTAGAATGTATAAATTTTTTATTCCTCCAACTCCCCATTTATTATCCACAAACCTCTGCTGACAATGGGTAACTGAAACCTCCAAATGCAAAATGCAGGGAAAGCCCATCATGTTGTGAGCTGAGTTTTTGTATCAAGCACATAACAATGGTTTTCTAGAATATTCTCCAGGCATCATGGTGACAGGCTACTCTGCGAGCTCACCTTTCACTGTCTCTCTCAGGTTTCTTCTCAAGATGTTGGTTTTCTTTCAGAAAGACTTCATCCTCTCCGCTGTCAGCAAGAGGCATGGGGGAAAATGTCCCTGAGCTAGGACCGGGCCTCCCTGGAGACGCGTTCCAAGTGTCATCGCGAACATTCTCTGTTAAACTCACTGAATTACAGGAGCCAGCCACTGAGACGCGATGGCCTGACGCCCTGGGAAACTCTTCATGTTCAGGAAAGGTTGTCCTTTCCGATGGTGCCGCCCAGTCTACAATAGAATGCTGGGTCCTTCTCTTGTCTCGTCCTGCCCACCATATCTCTACCCCTTGAAATTCCACATGTTTGACCCGGCCCACATGTCCTAGGGAAGCACCTCGATCACACCCCCCTGAGTCCTGTCTCCCAAGATCCGATCTCTGCTCTTCCAGAAAGCCCACTCCACCTACAGAATTGGGTGTCACGTCTGAGCTCCGCAGGGAGAATACAGGACAGGCCGGCGCCTGCACAGAGACAGCCCCCTTTCGCCCGTTAGTAGTTGTCTGGGAACGCTCTGCCTGAGTTTCTCCAGTTAACAGTGCAGTCAGATCCTCCTGGATGCTCAAATAAAAATTTTCTTCTGTCGTTTCTTCAGCTACAAGAGGTACAGCTAGTGCTTTTTCTTGGCCAGCAGGGGATGGTTTGATGGCTCTCGATGCTTTACGACCAGCAGTGTTGGACTCTTTTTCCACCTGCTGAACTGAAAAACCAGAAACAGCATCTTTGTCCAGTACCTTCGTAGCCTGTAATGTTCCTGAAGCTATTCTGGCTTCTGTGGCTTTCAGAGCTGAAATCAAAGAGTCAATGGGCTGTAAACTTTGTTCCCTGAGGTGACTCTGCGAGGGGGCCTCTGGGATATTGTTTGGTCCTTCTGTAACACTGTGGAGCCCAGAGTCTTGGCTGGCAAGAGGGAGTCCCTGCTCCCTGGGGGCGCAGCATGACAGAGACTCTGCATCAAACTCCAGAGAAGCTCTTAGACCTTCTCTGCCTTCCTCCATGGTCCCATATTCTGGAAATTCATTTGTGACATTCGGTGGCAGTAAAGTGCTTCCTCCATGATCACCTATGAACAGAACAGAAGGGAAAGATGACTTTTTGAACACCAGGGTCCAGTATTAATAAATATCTATGCATATTAACTATTCAGTAATAATTTGATTATTTCACTACCATTTTCCATCCAATACCCTGTATTATGCGTTTCTCGCAACTTTGCAGCAGCCCCTTCTGCTACATTCACGTCACCACAAAAGTTTCATCTATGGAGGCAATGGAATGACACGTGCCATAGTTAAGCCTGCTTCTCATAAAGACAATTACATGAGGGTTGCAACTCCACTGTCTCATATGGAAAAAGAGATTATAACAAGGATAAGGATCACCACCCAAATACCACTGGTAAATAGCCACCGAAATATTTATACTGGGCGCATACCAAATAGCCTTATGAATGTGCAGGGCAGACTCTGAGACAGAGCCTCAGCAAAAAGACACTATTGAAAGTCAGTAAATATTTGTTCAGCTTGATGTCTCCCCTTTCCCTGTCAGAGCTCAATGGGGGAAAAAAGGCCATGAAAACATCCCTAAAGAATGAGAGTGAAACCAAAGTGAAATAGGAAATTTAATGTGTCCACAAAAATTTCCAGGATCCTGGCTGCCTGAAATTTTTATCATTTTATTTACTTTTTAACTGACAAAAAAGTCATACTTCTGTATGATATATAACATGATGTTTGGATATGGGGATGCATTGTGGAATGACTAAATCAGGCTAACGTATCTTACCTCACACAGGTTTTTTATGGTAAAAACACTTAAGATCTACTCTGTTAATTTGCAAGTATACAGCCATTGTCATCACAGTCTTGTACAGTTGATCTCTTGAATTGATTCTTCCTAATTGAAAATTCGCCTCCTTTCCCCAGGTCCCTGTACTCTTCCTTCCCCCTGTCCCTGTTAATCATCCCTCTCTGTCTCCTTCTATGAGTTTGACTTTAGATTCCACATGTGAGATCACAAACTGCATAAATATTAATGGTATCATATCTAGAACCTCAATATATGAAGCAGAGCAAAACAATGTTTAATTAGGTTATATTTATTATAATGGGCCACAATTACACTTTCCTGTCAAAATAACAGCAAAACTGAACATGGGAACCTCTTGATTTCAAAATTTTAAATTTATGGTTCTTGGGTAAGAGTTTCAGTCATATTATGCCTGGTATCCAACCCCTTCTGAACTTAGTTTCACTATCAAAAAAATAATCATCTATACTAGAAATAAAGTATATTCACTTCTACTTTATGAAAGAGGACATTCGTGTCATATTTCACTCTTTAAAACCATTTGAAACATACTTTTCAAATTAAATTTCAATCAGGTGTCGACGCAGAAGCACTGCTGTGTGACAAGAGTATCTGTAACACCTTCGCCAGACAGAAACAATCCCATACCGCAGCTCAGTGGGAAAGCCCTGAGTTCAGCCAGTGGCATCATTTAAAAACAAAAACAAAAAATACGGCTTGCTGAAAACTAAAAGGGAGGAACTTTTCAAACCTGGTTTTAAAAGGGAAGACAGCAAACTAAAAAACAAACAAACAACAAAGAGACCCCTTTTCCCAGGGCAGCACATTGACATTTTTATTCTTTCAGTAAAGAATGTGGTAAGCCCTTTCATTTCCTCTTAAGATGCAGCAGCTGTTCTTATGTTCACCAACCTGTGTGACTACTCCCATTATCCAGTTCCAGGACACATTCATAATTCCAGAAAAGGAATCTGATATCCATTAACAGCCACTCCCTATTGGCCTCACCCCACAGTCCCTGGAAGGACCAATCTACTTCCTGTCTCTTGGGATTTGTGTGTCCTGAGTATTATATATAAATGCAATCAAATCATATATGCTATTTGGGGCTGGGTTTCTTTCACTTGGCACAATGTTTTCAACTTACATATTCATGTTGTAGCATGTATCAGAGCTTCATTCTATTTTATCACCACACAATGTTTCATTACACAGAAATAACACATTTTCTTTGACCATACATCAGGCTGATGAATGTTTAGGTTGTCTCCATTTTGGCCAGTATAAATAGTAAATTTATATACAAGTTTCTGTGTCTAAACACATTCTTAATTCTCTTGGGTAAGAGTGGAACTTCTGGGTCACATGGTAAATCCATTTAATGGAGCTGCCAAATAGTTTTCCAAAATAGCTGCACTATTTTCATTCCTTCTGCTATGTTCAAGAGTTCCATTGTTTTCCATGTTGTTGTGTTTTATTTTTTTATCACAGACATCCTAGAGCATGTTTAGTGATATTGTACCATGATTCTGGTCTTACTAATGACTAATAGTGTTGAGCATCTTGCGGTGTTTATTTCTCATTTGTAGAGCTTCTTTGGAGACATACCTATTCAGATCTTTTGTCCATTTTAAAATTGGGTTGTCTTTTTATTATTTAGTTGTAATAGTTTTTATAAATATCTTCTTCCAGTCTCTGATATATCCTTTGACTTCATTAATGGTGTTTTTTGAAGCACAATGTTTCCGATTTGATCAAAACCCAACTTATTCAGCTGTGTGTGGTAGAACACACCTATTAGCCCAGTGCTTTGGAAGACTGAGGCAGAAGAACTACAAATTCAAGCCCAGCCTTGGCAACTTAACAACTCAGGGGAAACCTGTCTCAAAATTAAACATTTTTTAAAGTCCTGACGATATAGCTAAGTATGAAGACCATGGGTTCAACCTCAGTACCACAGAAATAAATAAAAACTAATAAATCTAACACTTATTTTTCCTTTGTTGCATATGCTTTTATCGTGTGTAACAAATCGCTGTCTGATTCAAGGTTAGAAGGAATTTTTCCTATATCTTCTAAGAGCTTTACAGTGTTGGCCACTGCATGTAAATCTGTGATCCATTTCACATTCATTTTAAAATGCGGTGTGAAATAGAGATTCAACTTCATTCTATTGCCTGTGGATATCCTACTGTTCCAGCAGTATCTGTTGAAAAGATTGCTATCATTTCCCATTGAATTTCCTTGATAACCCTGCAGAAAATCAACTGACCATAAATGTAAAGATTTCTCAAGACTCTCAGTTCTGTTGCACTGAACTAGACATCTGTCTTTAGGCCAGTACACTATCTTGAGTACTGTAGCTCTGTAATAAATAAAACCTGGAAATGAGCGTGCTCCAACTTTGTTTTGCACTTCCAGGTGTTTTGGCTACTTTGAGTCCTTTGCATATCTCAGCAAAGTTTAGGTTCAAGATGGTAAACAGTTGAGATTTTGATAGGAACTGCAATGAATCTATAGAGTACAGGATGCTTAGTGGTATTATTATGACATCTTTCAATTTATGACCATGAGTTTTCTTTCCATTTATGTCAGTGCCCTTAATTTCTCTCAGTAGTGTTTTGTAGTTTTAAATTGTGTTTTTAAATTACTTTTGTTAAATTTATTCTCTTTTTTGATATTTCTAACTTCATATCTAGATCATGGATACCAGGCATATAGAAATATAACTAGTTACTATATTGGTCTTAGATCCTGCAATCTGGTGAACTTATGTTTTAGATCTATAGAATTTTTATAGGTTCCTTAGGATTTTCTGTTTACGAGGTCCTGTCATCTGTGAACAGATATAGCTTTAACTTTTCCCTTCCTAATCACCATCCATCCTTCACATATACTACTCTCTCAACTCCCCTTTCAAATATATTATACTAAGGGCCAGGGATTTAGCTCAGTGGTTTCAACACCTGCCTCGCAAGCACAAGGTCCCAAGTTTGATTCCCAGGTAAAAGAAAAAAAAAAAGAAATTTCAAATATGTTATCCTAGTGCCGGTAAACAGAAGGTGAGTACAGTACAGACATACTTTGAAAAGGTGCTAATTCTAAGTTAGTCCAGAAATAAAGTTAACTCTATGGACACTCTGAACTGTTCAGCTTCACCTCTGTTCAGCCTCTTTTTCTCATGTGATATATGAAAGATTATTTTCACCTTCCAAGACCCAACTTCAATTCCTCCTCCTTTAAAAGGGTTCCCCAATCACCATCTTTAAAAGAAATCACAAACATCAAAAGAAAATCAACTGTGTAAAAGCAGTACAAATACATGAAATCACTAACGCATAACACTCGCTCATATTATAAAGCTTGAGAAGCTCCCTATTTTAACTTATCATGCACTGTTTTATGAAATTCAACCACAGTGAGCACTGAAGATGTATGTGTATATAATACCAGAAAATAACACAGTGAAATCCATTCAACAAATTGATAAATGCTGAGCTTTCATGAAGGGGCCCACTTTTCCTAATAGTTTAAATTTCCTTTTATAAAACAACCATGAAACTTATCACTGGCTCAGAGAAAAATAACCACCCCCACAAAAAAGAAATCAAGAAAAAAGACCTCAAAAAATTTAATAACTTGTTCACCCTCCCTCCCCCTTTTTTTAAATTTTGCAACAAGGTCTCATGAAGTGTTCCTAGGCTGGTCTCCAACTTTTCAACCTCCTGCTTCAGCCCCAAGTAGCTGGAATTACAGACATGCATGAGCACAATGGCTTTCACCTCATTTTTGATACTTTTCATTGAAATGTTCCAAGCAAAGGCATCAATTGTGGAAAAATATTTGTGATGCTTGACATAACTTGGCAACTGGTCAAAGCAAAAGAAATTAGACAAAGGGTAAATGGACAAAAGCAAATTCCTATCTGACACATAGCTGACTTTACTATTCAATAAGGTCTCCTGGTTTAAATTTACCGTTCTAATAAATACTACTCTAATGAGTGTGATTTAATCTTTTAACTAAAAGCATCTGGCATAGATAGACTAAAAGAAATAAGCGTTTTGAAAGGCTAAATGGCAAATATAAGTAAAACAATGCTGAAGAATGTTCTGTACCAGAACTAAAGGTCAAGACTGTCTAGTCTTTTGTCTCCCTGGAATAAATTCATGGAAAACCTCAGGTGTCACTAAGTGGTGAGGCGATCACTCTAATAGCAAATTTAACAAACCTAATGAAAACTGAAGTCTTCTA